TAAAATTTTATGACTTAGTCACATTAGCCACATTTCAATCCTCAGCAACCACATGTAGCTAGTAGCAGCACTAGCTCTATCAGCTTTCAGGAAATAAAGAGGACCTTTCATTCTCACTTCACTTACTATATCCATAGCCTCCAAAATATCCTCCTGTTGTTATTATTATTATTATTATTATTATTATTATTATTATTATTATGATAAGAACACCCAGAATAAAAATCCACTCTCTTAGCAATCTTTTAATATTGTCTACTATAGGCCCTATGCTGTACAGTAGATCTCTAAGACTTACTCAGCTTGCAAAACTGAAATTTTATAACCAATGACCACTTCTCTCCAACCATTGAACCGACACTGACCCATTTTAAAAAAATATATTTTATTGATTTTTTATAGAGAGGAAGAGAGAGGGATAGAGAGTTAGAAACATCGATCAGCTTGCCTCCTGCCCACCCCCTACTGGGGATGTGCCCACAACCAAAGTACATGCCCTTGACCGGAATTGAACCTGGGACCCTTCAGTCAGCAGGCCGACGCTCTATCCACTGAGCCAAACCGGTTAGGGCACACTGCCCCATTTTTTATATAACTACCTGTTAGAGGCTTATTTTTGTCATATTAACTCACAGTTGAGCCATGAACCAGGAGGTCGTGGTTCGATTCCCAATCAGGGCACATGCCCAGTTGTGGGCTCCATCCCCAGTAGGAGGTGTGCAGGAGGCAGCCAATCAATGATTCTCTCTTGTCATTGATGTTTCTCTCTTTCTCCCTTCCTCTCTGAAGTCAATAATAATTTTAAAACAACATATTTTTAAATGTTAACTGGTAAGAAACACTTAAGTTGACTTTCCTATCTTTTCTAGTCAGCTGGAAGTTTCCTCTATCGTCTCCTCTTTCCTTGTTTGTTTTGGTCTCACACACTGAAGGGGAAAGGCACTTAATGCACAAGACCTTCTGAATGTTGTAGCAGAATTTCCCTAAGTTTTATTGGAAATTTCTAGTTTGCTTCCTGTTTCATCTTCCATCATGCCTCCAATGACTAGATGTTTATTAATTTTAGACCACACATTTTTTTATTAATGACTTCATTACTACATCTTTTATAAAGCATCTTAAGTATTGTAAGCACTCTCTGGCCATCTATGCCATCCATTCCTGCTAGCAACCGTAAAATATGTAGCATCAAAATGACCAAAGAAGCTTGAGAAGTGAATCCATATTTAGGTGATTACTCACCACGGTCAACGAGTACACATTGACCCTCAAACACAGGATTGGTTCTAAGATCTAAATGTGTCAATAGCTACAGGGGAGCCATGAAAGTTCTCTTCGAAGCATAACCTCAGGACAGAAATATTCTCATCTCACACAAGCAGTGTTGTCATATGCAGGCCCCAGGTAATCAGGGCAAAGACCAAGCCTGTCCCTTGCAAGAACCTCACTGTCCTCATTTCCAGGAATGGCTGTGGTCAGCAGAGCATCGAATCTCAGTGCCAAGAGGGAGGGAAGCCAGAGGGAGCCTCAAGTAACTGAGTACCAGGTCATTCCAGGCTTTAAAATAGCCGCCTTCACCTCGTGGGCCTTTCGAAGATATCCACACAGAACGTAGTAATAAAACCTTACACCAGAGAAACACGTTTCTGTCAGGCATTTTTGCTCAATCCCTTTGCTTTTGGTTTTTAATTTATTTTTAATTACAGTTGGCATATAATATTACCTTAGTTTCAAGTGTAGAATATAGTGACTAGACATCTATATAACTTACAAAGTGATCGCCTTGGTACGTCTAGTACCCATCTAGCACCATTTGTAGTTATTACAATATTATTGACTATATTCCCTAGGCTGTAGTCTTCATCCCTGTGACTATTTTTATAATTGGCAATTTGTGCTTGTTAATCCCTTTTACCGTTTTTACCCACACCCCCAAATCCCCTTATGATCTGGCAACCACCAATTTGTTCTTTGTATCTATGAGCTTGTTTCTGTTTTTGTTCATTTATTTTGAAATCATATGGTATTTGTCTTTCTCTTTCTGACTTATTTACAATAGCCAAGATATTGAAGCACTCCAAGAGTCTATCAATAGTTGAACGAAGAAAGAAGATGTGGTACGTATATACATACAAAAAGAATTAAATCAATCCCTTTGTTTTTATTTTCCAGAGTTTCTTCCTCAGCTTAAATTTTTCCTCCCTAGTCATTCATTCCCTGGGCGGTTTAATTCTCCCCGTGGTATAATCATCATGCATAGAGATAATGTGGAAACTATTTCTTTTTTAACATAAATTTTTATTGATTTCAGAGAAGAAGAGAGATGGAAAGAGAGATAGCAACAGCAATGATGAGAGAATCATTGATTGGCTGCCTATTGCACACACCCATACTGGGGATCGAGCCCACAACTGGGGCATGTGCCCATGGAATCAAACCATGAATGCTTGGTTCATGGGAAGATGCTCAGCCACTGAGCCGCACTGGCATGGCAAAAACAGTTTTTTTATCTCCTCTGCTTTCCTTATCACTACTTCTACTCTCTTAGATGGCTTGTGTCACCTCCTTTCACACATCCTTCAATTCACCCCTAACAGTCCAATTGCCCATATTTTGTTTGATGACTTTACCATCCACCCAGCTGTTTACACTAAAAACCTCAGTCATCTTTCCTCCTTTTCTCCATCACGTGCCCCCACTCCCCTCCCCACAAACACATTCAGTCAGGCATCAAGTCTGGTCACTTCTGCCTATGGAATGTTTCTGGAATCCTAAGACTTTGCAGGAACCTTTTAGCTTGTCTCCGACCAAAATCTCTGTTTCTGATTCGTCCTCCTTCCAGGAGGATGGTCATTAATTATTCTTCCAGAAGAAAAACCTGGTTTTACCTCTCCCGGCTTAATAATATCCAATAGAAAGCCATTATCTAGATAAAATTTAATTCCTTAACAATGTGTACACAATTTCTTTATGTCCCTTTACCCTTGACCAAAACTCACTTTTCATCTTATTTTGCTGCTTTCTGAAAAGTGGCAGCAGTTTTTTGTTTTTTTTTTACACCTTACCCCAGAAGTGATTTCTTAATGTGCTACCTATAGGGTATCTGATGATAGTTAAAGAGAGATATCTCTGGAGTTACCTATAAGTGTTTTGGGTGCAGGAGGCTAGGAGGTTGTTGTGAACAGCAAGATCCTAAGGTGACACTGTATTTTGCTTGCTCTGTGTGCAGGCAGTGGCAGCCCCCAAGTTATACAGTGCCAGGATATGGTTCTGGAGGTAATTGTTCAGGTTCCAAATTTTTTGATTTTTTAAATGAAAAGATAATTGGCAAGGTTTGTGTGTAGTTTTGGAAATACTTCCTTTTTCTATATTTTTGAAAGTGTTAATATAAGTGTGTGTGTGTGTGTGTGTGTGTGTGTGTGTTGTATTTTCTGGTGCAATAACTGCGTTGTCTCTGTGGATGAAATAATTTTAAAACTTTATTCCTTCCAGCACCTTCTGTTTGCCTTTGCTCTTCCCTAATTTTCTTCATTTTATTGTTCACTTCATTTCTTTTTCCATCTTTCAAAAAATTTAAAAAAATATATTTTTATTTATTTCAGAGAGGGAGGGAGAGGAGGGAGCGAAAGCTAGAAACATCAATGATGAGAATCACTGTTCAGCTGCCTCCTGCATGCCCCACTCTGGGGATTGAGCCTGAAACTGTGACCTCCTGGTTCCTAGGTTGAAGCTCCACCACTGAGCCATGCCAGCCAGGCTCAAAGAATTTTTTTCTTCTCATTTAGGTCGTGCTTTGCAAGTTTGTGTTGGGGATTTTATTTTATTACCTTATTTTATCCTAATTAAAAAACAAACAAACCATATTAGTCTGTTGTCTTGTCAAAGAATCTGAAGTCCAACATAATATCCAGTATCTTCTCATAAATTTGGCTAGTATTTCAGTCACATATAATGTTGCTTCTCCAGAATAAAGAAATCTTTGATTTACTCTTCCCACCAAAGCACCGGTGAATGAGAATGGAGGCAGTCCAAGGTGGACTCCAGGTCCCAGGGGCAAGGTTGACCTCCAGGTGGAGGGAGGAGGGTTGGGCACAACTCCTGGCCAGGTTAGAATGTGCTTTCTTTAATTAGTACAAAGCAGTCAAGGTTAGCAGAGCATGATTAATATTTCTTATAACTATAGCTAGTCCCCAATATTCTATATCTGCCCCTAACACTATTAATAAGCATGGCATCAAGGACAATTTCCAGACTTGTGCTCACTCCAGAGAAAAACAAGAGTATGGCTTCTCGAATTTCTTCACTGGGTAACTTAGAACGCAGGATGTGGAGACCAGCTGCCCATATCGTGTTACTTGGTTTCAGCATTAAAGTTATAAACGAAACCAGTCATATGTTCTCTCAAAGCCATCGCTGATCAAAACAAGCATCGAAATCAACAAAATAATATGAATAATCATGACCATAAATCTTCTGCTAAGTCTCTGATTTGGGCTTTAAAAACAAACAAACTCCTTTAACATTCTTAGTTTTATTGTACTTTACTCAATTAGACTACACTTAGCTCACACGTAGGTGTTCTCTCCATTCCAGATGCTCTACTGGACACTTGCTTTACTCCTAAGTTTTTATTCTAATGAGAAAACCATTCTTCACAGACAGTAGTTGCAGCTTTTAAATAACGCAGCAACCTCAAGGAGAAGAAAGCGGAGAGTGGGAGGCAATCCCGAACACTCACGTACATAGAACCTACAGACCAGTGTTCTTGGTATAGCTTTATGGGCTAAAAACCTTGAATACCTTTTTCTTATAGGCACTGTTCTAGAAAGGCGGGGGGCGGTTTTTCAGAGGGGGAGGGCTTCGTTCCACTGGGTCTGTCCCCATGCCTGTTAACCAATACAACTGGTCTCCTTCCGCCGCCGTGGGAAATAAGCAACAGCGGGAAAGTAATAATAACGCTGGAGCTAATTCCGTTATCTGGGCTGCTGAGGAGAAGGGAGATGAGCTCCTGAGCCCGTTCTCCCCAGCTCTCCCCGCCCCCGCCCCGGGGCAGAGCACCTGCGGGCAGCAGAAAGGGCGGACCGAGCTCCCCAAGGGGCGGCTGCGATCCCCAAGAGGCGGTGGAGGCGGGGCCCTGGGAGGGAGGGGGGTGGGGACCGTCTGCCGCAGATGCGGAGCCGGCGGCCGCTGCACCCGTTCCCCCGGCCTCGGAGTGTGCGCAAGCGCGGGGTGCGCTAGGAGGGGGAGGTCAAGGTCAAGGTGGGCCACCCGCTCCGGGCGCGATGAGACCCGGAGAGGAGCCACGGGCGGCGGGGGGCGCCCCCGAGCTGGAGCTGCTGGAGCAGCTGAAGCTGCGCGCCGCGGAGCGCATCGACGAGGCGGCGGGGCGGCTGGGCGCGCTGAGCCGCGCCATCTGGAGCGAGCCCGAGCTGGCCTACGCGGAGCACCGCGCGCACCGGCTGCTGACGCGCTTCTTCCAGGGCGAGCGGCCCGCCGCCGCCTGGGCGGTGCAGCCGCACTACGGGCTGCCCACGGCCTTCCGCGCCGAGTGGGCGCCGCCGGGGGCCGCGTCCGCAGCCAGCCCGCTGCAGCTGGCCTTCCTCTGCGAGTACGACGCGCTGCCGGGCATCGGGCACGCCTGCGGCCACAACCTCATCGCCGAGGTCGGGGCGGCGGCCGCGCTGGGCGTGCAGGGCGCCCTGGAGAGCCTCCCCGGGCCGCCGCCGCCCGTGAAGGTGAGGCGGGACTCGGCGCGGGGCGCCATCACCTGCCCCGGCCGGTGCCGACCCGGGACCCGCGGGGCCCGATGCCTCCCGCGCGCCCCTGTGTCCTCCCATCCGGGCAGGTGTAGCGCCCCCAGACGCCCTAGCCTCGCCTGGGTAGAAGGCAGAGACCCTGGGTAAAAAATGAATTGCCCACCTGCCTACGCTTTGCAGAGTATTGGGTTTTGTTGCGTCCTATGTACTTTCTCCTGTAAAGAATTGAGTGGGTTCTCCCTTACGAAAGAACTTAGAGCCAAGCCTGGTTTTCGTTAAGGTTTATTTTTGGTAACTGTAGCCGCTGCAATGTGCTGTCGAGGTGTTGCAGTCCCCTGGAAGTGGTTATTGTAGGGAAACCTACAGCCCCTCTTCATTAGGCTCCCCCCCAAATCTTCTGTTGGTGGCAGAAGCTGCTTGTTGTAATTTGAAGTTGTTGATTAAAACAAGCATCCAAATGATTACAAGCACCCAAATGACAGATGCTACTGTCTGTGAAGAATGGTTTTCTCATTAGAATAAAAACTTAGGAGTAGAGCAGGTGTCTAGTAGAGCATCTGGAATGGAGAGAACACCTATGAGCTAGTGTAGTCTATTTAAGTAAAGTAAAACTAAGAATTTAAAATGAGTTTTTTAAAAGCCCAAATCAGAAAGTTAGTAGAAGATATATGGTCATAATTATTCATATTATTTTGTTGATTTTGATGCTTGTTTTGATCAAGAAAAGGAGTTGTTGTAATTTGAATCATTAGGTTTTTTTGGTTTGTTTTTTAAACATGTTTTTTATTTATTTCAGAGAGGAAGGGAGATGGAGAGGGAGAGAAACATCAATGATGAGAGAATCATTGGTTGGCTGCCTCCTGCACACCCAACACTGAGGATGAGTGGATACCGCAGGCAACCCGGGCATGAGCCCTGACCTGGAATCCAACAACGACCTTCTGGTTCATAGGCTCACGCTCAGCCACTGAGCCACACCTGCTGGCTGGCAGGGCTTGAAGCATTAGTTTTTGGGTAGGATACTTTCAGTCGTTACAACTCCCAAACCCCTAGAAATATATACACACACAACTACACAGATGTAGTTGATAAAGTTTGAGTCCTAATTTTTTTTTAATAAATACCTCCTAGGTTTTTAATAAATACCTCCGTTCTGTACACAGGAAATGTCTTTTATGTTGGTTGTAGGGCAAGTGTAAGCTTGTGTTCCTCTGTTTTTCCTGCTGGTATATTCATTCTGTGAGCTAAGATGCAGTCATTGCCATTCAGGTTAAGGGGAATACTAATGTTTTGTTTTATTCTTAGCCCCTCTTTTCCAATGTAACCTTTTACTTTTATCCTAGCAGTTCCATCTTTTGTGACTTCTGTTTAGCTGTCTTCATGCTTCTGCTCTGGGGGCTTGTTCTGGCATTTGGTTGGGCTTTTGTTTTGTTTGGGGTGGGGTATCCTTTGCCAATACATGAAACACTGGAGAGATTTAGCTTTAACTGGATTTATGACACGTTCATAGAAGTCAATAAATTTGAAGTCATCACATTTAACTTGCCAAGGGTTTAGAGTTTAAAGCAGCGTAATTTAAGAGTTTGGGTGCCTTAAACCTTCTAAAGAAAGCCAGACTTTGGGAGATGTACCCAGTTCTGTCTTTGAATGGTTGGCTGAGTTTTTAGCCAGATTATCTGTCCTACCGGAAAGTGAAATTTATATAGATTCCCTTTGCAAGCCAAGACTTTTTCCAACTTGTTTTTGTGTCCTTATACGTGATCTTGAAAGCATATTAGCTGCTTATAGATAATTTTTTCTTTGCTTTAAGAATTGTTTGAAGAAGTTAAACTGAGATGTCAAAATAAAATGCTTATTCTGCAAAGTTCTCTTTTGGTTAATTAGGTGTTTGGTGACCAATAAACCTGCCTGATTGAACTGGTAGAAAAGAATTAGTAAGTTTGTGTAATAGTTGGTCATTCCTAACTATGGTCTTATTACAGAAAACAAGCAATACTTAGAGAGATGGAGTTACATTTATTACATGAGTCCAGAGGAAAATGTTTCTCAAATTCTGGGCCCCAACATGGAGAAATTTTCCCTATTTATATGTTTTTACCTTCTTTGTCTCCCAAATATGGGGTGTTTCTGGCCCCCTTTGCAAGTTCTTAAAGAGCCCCTATGTGCTGGGTTCTTGAGACCTCAACCAAAGGCCTGACTTGGTGCCAGCACTGATAATTTTGTCCGGGGAAGGTTTAATGGCCTCTATGAAGTGGGAATAGTCTTATTTTCCTTATTATTTAAGCAAGCAAGCACTTACAGAAGCCAAATAGCAGGGTTAAAATTTCAAACAGCAGTTTTTGTATAAGATGGATGCTTCAGTCTTAAGATTTATTTATTGTTCTTCATGAATGATTAATGAATTAAGATCTTTTCAGGAGGTGGCTCAATAAGGAACAGGCCTGAACATCTCATCCCAGCTCTCCCTGAAGACTGGCTCTGTGATGTGGGGCAAGGCACTTCACCCTAGAACTCCAAATCTGAAGTCATCTCTAAAGCGATGTCACAGGTCACTCACCTACCACACAGGGCTGTTGTGAGAAGAACTAATAAGTAACTGGAAAAGTGCTTATGAATAATTATGTCCATATACTAAAAGACATATAGATTGGGAATATGTATGCAAGAGAGCTTGTTTGATACTTTCCCACTAGGATTTTTTATTTTGTTCTGACACAGGTATTTCCTTCTAGGTCATTGTCCTGGGAACCCCTGCAGAAGAAGAAGGTGGTGGCAAGATTGATTTAATTGAAGCCGGGGCTTTTAAAAACCTCGATGTTGTTTTTATGGCCCACCCATCCCAAGAGAATGCTGCTTATCTCCCTGATGTGGCTGAACATGAGTAAGTAATCAAGTTGAATAAACTTCTTAGTGGAAAACGGACTACTAGAATACTTTCTACGTCTTTTTTTTTTTTTAATAGGAACAGAAATGTATTGTCTTAAAGTTCTGGAGATGTGAAGTCTGAAATCAGGTGACAGGGCCAAGATCCTTCTAAAACCTGTTGTGGAGAGGACACTTCCTGCCTCCTCTATCTTATGGTAGCCCCAGGCATTCCCTGGCTTGGGGCAGCCTAATTCTAATCTCTGCCTCTGCTGCTTTCACAGGGCCTCCTCTCTCCGTCTCTTCACATCGTCTTTCCTCTATGTCTCTAGAATACTTTTCTGTCTTAATTGGAGACTAACACTCCGTATTTATACCTTTAAGAAGTAAATCGAAAGATAGTGATGTGATGTCTTACTAGGTTTTAATTGACTTGTACTTGGCAAGCCTCTTCTAATTGAGATTTAATATAATGTTCATAATTGGACTATTAAAATAACGCCTACAAAGCATAAGAATAGCAAACAGTATCCTGACACATGTTCTATTTTAAACTGTCTGAGAGTAAATCCGGTTTCTTCTCTGAAATAAATATATTTTTATTGATTTCAGAGAGGAAGGGAGAGGGAACAAGAGAGAGAAACATCAGTGAGAGAGAATCATTGATGGGCTGCCTCCTTCCTGCCTGCCCTCTTTGGATCAAGTCCAAAAGCCAGTCATGTGCCCTGATCAGAAATCAAACCGTGACCTACCTCCTGGTTCATAGGTCAAGGCTCATCCACTGAGCCACACTAGTCGCGCTAATCTGATTTTTAGAGGTTGTCCTAACTCATTTCAAATGTCACCTTCCCCCACCCTTAAGACAGAATTACCTGAATTTCCTGAATTTTTGCAGACATTTGGTGTAGAACTATCACATGAAGTCTAGGAGACAGGAGTCTTCATGTTTGTAAATTCAGCACCTAAAATAGTATTGAATACTTGTTTGAAGGTAATTGTGTATAAATTCAATTTGCCTAGGATGTCGATTGATCAATTTCTTTTTTTTTTTTTTTTTGAATGCCTTCTTTGTGTCAGTCGCTGTATTACATAATAATAAACGACAACTAAGCTACAAAAAATGCTGTTACGGCTACAAATGATTCGCAAAAGAAAATTCTAGCAGTATGAATTTCTTTGAATACTACTTGGGTAATTCTAACTCCTTGGCTTTTCTTACTTCAGTGACATTGAAAAAAGATAATTCCGAATGGTGTTTTGTTTCCTAGTGTAACCGTGAAATACTACGGAAAAGCGTCCCACGCTGCCGCGTACCCCTGGGAGGGAGTGAACGCCTTAGATGCTGCTGTTCTCGCCTACAACAATCTGTCTGTGTTAAGACAGCAAATGAAACCAGCCTGGAGAGTTCATGGTATGAATGCCACATATTTTGTGTAATAGATGGTACTTAATATATTTCAATGCAATATAATTACTAATCTTTGCTTTTATTAAAACATTAGAAACATTGGTTATAGAAACATCTGTCAGAAGTTCTGTGGCAGGACACTAGGATGTTCTGTTTTTGGGTCAGATGACATTTAAGATTATTTTTAAATATGAGTGGAACAGCCATTTTGAGAATTAGAGGTCAGTAGTTTTATATAAGGACCTTTTTGTGGTCATTTGAAAGTTGGAACATAACTTTCCAGTTATTCTATCTTTTAAATGATAACAAAATTTTGTCATTTCCTCAGTTTAAAGAAGTTAGGATTACTGGTTTTATGTACTCAAGTGCTATTAATTCTAAGTAACATCTTTTAAAATTATCTTTATATCAATACAGTAATAAAGTACAATCTTGAAGGTACAAATTTATCTTTTAGTTCATTTCTTTATGATTTGGGAAATTATTATACTTCAATATCTATTTTTCTTACCTAATATTGCTGTAGGCTTAAATTAGTTTGTAATCAATTATACTACCTTAGTTTCTAAAAAAAAAAAAGTACTTTATAAAGTAGGTTATATAAATTAGGTTTTGTATATCTATTTTAGTTATAACTTTGAAGAGATAAACCTTCCTTCTCTCTGTAGTTCCAAATAAATGCTTTTGTTTTAACAGCTAATAATACTTAATGATCTTTGACACATATTTTTAGAATAAAAATTATTTTCCCTGAGTCAAATGCCTTTTAAAATACTCATGCAATTGTTTAAGTACAAGGGTAATTATAGAACTTCACACCATCAGGGTTTTTTCTCTTCTCATATCAAACATTTATCAAAATGTACAAATGTAATATAAGTTACTGAAATAAAAGCATTTTCCAGAAGGCTTAATATAGTTATAAAGTTTCTAATAGTTTCTTAAAGTCAGGAATTTCTTATAAATTCCTTAGAATAAATACATATAGACTATTATTTTATTTCTTTTCCTGTTAGCTAGAAAGCATCACACTATGACATAGAGAAACTTTTGTTGTACCGCAGAGCCTTTGATTGGCATTATCTGTGAAGCATATACGTTTAAATTATTTTTCTTTATGTACAAATTGGCTGGAAAATGTTATGCGTGTATTTAAGCTTAAAGAAATGGTCTCCAAGCTCAATTCCAGTAATTTGGTTCTTTTTGTAGGTATAATAAAACATGGTGGTGTAAAGCCTAATATCATTCCCTCTTATTCTGAATTAATCTATTACTTCCGTGCACCCTCAATGAAAGAGCTTCCAGTTTTGACCAAAAAGGCAGAAGATTGCTTCAGAGCTGCAGCTTGGGCTACTGGGTGCACAGTAAGAACTTTTAAGAGTTAATCTAAATTATCATCAGACATGCATCTGTGGACTGAGGCTGTTTGTTTTAAATTAGATTAGAATCTTACTTGCTTTTTCATTTGGTGTTGTCTTGAATATGTAAATTTAGTTGACTGAATAGTTGATGCGAAAGCCTTCACTTGTTAATTATTTAACTCAGTGTGTGCACTGGGAAGACTTCATATTACACAGTAATTGGAATAGCTGATTCTGCTGAGCTAGAAATCCTGCCTTTTTGCAAGTTATATCTGTCCTTATTGTTAGTTAAGCTTTTAGAATTGCTCTATATAGATTCTAGGGCAAAATCAGCAAAAGCTATTTTTTTGGTGAGGATAGGTACAGCAGGGGCATAAATACTTATGGCTTACTAGAGTGAAAATCAAAATAGACACAGAAGTTAGTCGGGAGGTTTTGTTCATTTGTACCATGAAGTCAGTAACATTTATGTACCAGTTATGAGGGCATGCAGTGGCATGAGAAGTTACAGAATGACATAAATTTTGCCCTGCAGGGCGCCAGTCATCTGGTTGGAGAGATAAGATCTGGATCTGTGCCTCTCAGCCTCACTGATTCTGTGACTTCTGGAAACGTTTTGTCTAGAAAAATGGAGAGAAAATAACCTAGCTTAGGGTTCTTATGAGAATTAAGTGAGGTCATGTTTATGAAGAGTTGGGGTCCTCATACATAATACTTTCTTTTTATTTTTTAAATTATAAGAGAAAGTTTATTTAGAAAGTTACAGAGGTAGTAGAAGTGAGCCAGCTGGGATGCATAGACTCAGGAAACAGCTTACTGAGGGAGAAGGGCGCTTGGAGCTTAGGAGAGAGAAAGGCAAAGATGAAGTGTTTGGAGGAAAGCCACAGGCAGGCACCCAGGAGGGAGCCTGCCAGTACCTCATTTTTTTTCTGCCCTCATTGGACTGGAGATGTGTTCAGATAACAGTGACAGTGACTTGCAGACAGGATATGTTAAGTGTCCAAAATAAAAAATGAAGCATTTGACCCTTGTTTATTTATAATTGTACATATTTTAAATATTTATTTAGAAAGTGAATACTTGAATTATGATCATGCATTAGTATCTCAAGGTGTACGTAATATTTCCTTAGGATAAGGTTCATTGTTACTGGATTTAAGTCTATATTTTAAATAGTTGTTTGTTTGTTTTTAGTAACTTTTCATATTTTGGCTGACTTATAATACTTGATTAAGTTGTCAGTGTTTCTAATTTAGATGTTGATAAGATTAGATGTCATCTCTGCCCTTTTCTAATTGGCTTTTGCTAATGTCCTAGGTATTATCTTTAGTTTGAGGGAGTATTGGCCTTTTGATTTAATCACACCTAGATCTGTGAATTGTGAATCTTCTTTTTCTCAGGGTACCTTTCAGACCAGGCAGTGGTGTCAGTATCGGTTTATGTACTGGATATTAGTAAAGTGTAATTTCTTCTTGTAGAAGGCACAGCCTAGAGCAGTGTTTCTCAGAGTGTTTGGACCACCTACGTCAGAATTCCTTGGCGGTTGGTTAAAGTGGAGATGTCTGACACCCCCCCCCCCCCCAAACACACACACACAGACACACAGACACACACAGACACATACCCTGCTGAGGTGACTGGAGTTGAGACTCACTGGTGAGTAGAGCTAGGTGGCGTCATGTGACGTGGTGCATACATAACAAAGGAGATAGGGTACTAGGAACTCTTAGTGACAGAATACATTTTTGCATGGTAAGAGACTTGAGTTTATACCCAGAAGGGAACATGCCCCTTCTTAACCTTTTTCTATTAAAAAACCATTGCTGGTTTGAAATTTAGATGGTGAATTTGAGGCATTTCTTTTTCAAAATTTGTTTTTTAATTTTTAATAGGTAGAAATCAAAGGTGGAGCACATGATTATTACAATGTCCTTCCCAATAAGAGCCTATGGAAAGCTTATATTGAAAACGGGGAAAAGCTGGGAATAGAATTCATTTCAGAAGATGATGCAGTTTTGAATGTATCTTCAGGTAATTAGATTCTTTTATGTATTGTGCTATTTGAGGAAAGGAATACTGTCTTTAGTTTTGTTTAACAGCTTTGAAGGTAGGGAGGTATTGCTGATGCTTTTAATTATATTTTTCATAAACTTAATGGTTAGGGAAGGAAACTGATGGACTCTTCAGTGATTGTAGAGTGTCAAACAAGCAGGTTTGTTTTTAGAAATAGGCAACATACTGCCCGGCTGGTGTGGCTCAGTGGTTGAGTGTCTACCCAAGACTCAGGAGATCACAGTTCAATTCCCGGCCAGGCCATATGCCCAGGTTGCGGGCTTGCAGGAGGTAGCTGATCAATGTGAGGCATGCAGGAGGTAGCTGATCAATGATTCTCCTCATTGATGTCACTATCTCTTTCTCCCTCTCCCTTCCTCTTTGAAATCAATTAAAATATACGTGTGTGTGTGTGTGTGTGTGTGTGTGTGTGTGTAAAAGCCAGCATACTTTTTGCTTTATATTCTAAGTATTTCCAGTGTTAAATTTTCTTAGTTCTAAATTTTTAAAAATAATTTTGTATTTTTTTTATTACAGTTGACATGAAATATTATATTAGTGTCAGGTGTATAATCCAGTAATTGGACATTATATAACTTAGTAAATGATCACCCATTACAAACAAGTTTTAAATAAGCTATTAAAAGGAGAAATAGAATTTCAATTCATTCTTAGTCATCAGTATGCAGGCTACTAAGTATTTAGTAAGTAGTTATATGGGGTCATTTTTGGTTTCTGAGACATAATAAGCAATTGTTCAATTTTAAATAATCATAAGTCTATTGGGGTTTATTTTAGATTTTTTCCCCTTTAAAAACATTACTAATACATTTGCATTTTAGAGATGCATCTCCTAAAATATAATAATAGATGTTGATGAAGTAGACTCAGAAAAACTTTGTGATAAAAATGGGGTGCTGATGTCATTCATTAAGATAAGGAGTTCAAAAGAAGGAGCAGGTCGAGGTATTGGGGGAGATATAAATTATTTGTATGTTAAATTTGAGGGGCTTACAGGATTTCTAAGAGGATCTGTTCAGTAGCCTGTTGAATCCGGAACTCCCAAAAGTTCCAGATTTTAGGAGTTATCAATATCAGCAAGGAATATGAAAACAGTTAATGAGGTTGCCCAAGAAATCCTAGGGATCACTAGCACTTAGGACACAAGCAAAGGAAGCATCTAGAGGAGAAAGAGAGTGATCCGAGAAAGCCCGACAATCAGGCGAGAGTGGAATCACGGAAGCCAAAGGAGTGGGGAATGTGGAGAAGGGAAGGAACAGTAAATCATGCCAGGTGCTAAGAAGACTGGCTGAGAGAAGTATGATCTCATATCCATTGGGCTAGCAATTAGAAATTCACGGGTTGTCTTACTTTTCCCAGGATCTACTGATTTTGGAAATGTTAGTTTTGTGGTTCCTGGAATTCATCCATATTTTTACATTGGATCCGATGCCTTGAATCATACAGAACAATATACTGAAGCTGCAGGTAAGTGTTAGAAATGAACATTTTGGCACGTGCCTGCCTTTTGTATTAGTTGCTGCCTTTCTGATTGGTTAGGTTAGAATAACCTCAGAAAACTCTATATTGTGGTGGGCAGGAGAGAGGCGATTTAGATACTGAGAACGAGCCTGAAAACTAGTAATTTATAATGATACTTTGATTTGTTTCTCAATCTTTTAGGATCACAAGAAGCTCAATTCTATACTTTGCGTACAGCGAAAGCTCTGGCAATGACTGCGTTGGATGTTATTTTTAAACCAGAGTTGTTAGAAAGAATCAGAGAGGACTTTAAACGGAAACTTCAAGAAGAAGAGTTTTTAAATAAAGTTGAATAAAAGGAAGATTTAGGAGTCACATATGAATCATTGAGGAGAAGTGATTATTTTTTTCTTCATTTTTTATTGAAGGAGAAGGCCATCTTTGTTTTTCAATCTTAAAGGAATCAAAATTCTCTTCCTGAAAAGTGAGGACATGGTGTGGAGAAAACACATGAACTTTTAGCTAAAATTAAAATGTTCACAAATCTGTATTTGATGAAATTGTGATCTTTCAGGAGCTGGAACATGGTGGCATTTCTTAAACAACCTGGATGACACAGGGTTTATCAGTGATAATAGTGTATAAGTTCATATGTTGTGTAAGTATATTTCAAAAGGTCCAAGAGATTTCAAATCTTATATTCAGAATTAACTCATGAAAGATTTTTTCCTGGTATAGGGTGTAAAATTGTTTTAGAAAGTAGTTTTAAAATTCAAGTTTTGAATTTGAAGGAGTTCATTTTTATGTCTGACTGTTTTGGTTTAGAGACTGTTTTTCATTGGTAATAAAAGGTTTTTAATCAGAAATCCTGTGGGGAACTCAGGTACAAAGAATAAGCTTTATGTTAGTTTATATTAATTCTAATAGAAAAAATTACAGAGTCTAAAAAATTATTAGACTCTTCCTGTAAGTTGTCTGCTTAATAGTCTAGTGTGTTCTAAGTGGACTTAATGAGAGAAGAACAATGCCTGTCTTGAACGCTAATTACTTGGGCTTCTACTCAGAAGCCAGCCTGTCTAGCCTGGGTACACAAAGAATTGTAAGTTGTTCTTGGTTCTCATTTTATTATGAATTTTTAAAATATATATATATATATTTTATTGATTTTGTACAGAAAGGAAGGGAGAGAGATAGAAAGCTAGAAACATCAATGTGGGAGAAACATCGACCAGCCGCCTCTTGCACAACTGGGGATGTGCCCGCAACCAATGTACATGTCCTTGACAGGAATCGAACCGGGGACCCTTCAGTCCACAGACCGACCCTCTATCCACTGAGCCAAACCGGTTTCAGCTATTATGAATTTTTAAAACATGATAAAAGAATGTGGAGAAAGTATCTGGTTAAGCAAATATCTTAAGCTGTGAATATAGCAAAGCTTCAGTATACTTTATTTTAAAGGGAGTGCTCAAATTTGAGGGTAAATATTCTAAAATGGAAGGGGAAGGAGAGAAAAGTCAGCATTTGGCCTCTGCTGTAAGCAAGTCATTTGGGCCCCTCTGAGCCTTTAGCTTTCCATTTGGAAAGTTAGAATAAATCACTTACACTTACACAAATCAAATCGTGACCTCCTGGCTCATAGGTCGACACTCAACCACTGAGCCACGCTGGCTGGGAGATCTCTCTCCCCGCCTCCCCCAATCTCTCCATGTAGTGACTTAATTTTAAAAGCAGGCCTGAAGAGGAGGCATGTATAAAACAAGCATGTGGTACTATGAATAACTAAGTTGCTATGTATCATATAATAAGTTCGAGGATAGCTAATATTTAGCTTGCCTCTTAAAAATTTAAGACTGTTTTTTAGTTTCTAAGTATTTTGTAATCTACTTTTATAGATGAGAGTGGCACATTTTGATATGTACGAAGTAAACAATCACTATCTACTACCATCAGATGACAGTAGTTTTAAAAAGCATCTTAATACGTATTAAAGTATGTTTAAAAAAGTATAATGTTGCTGAAACTGGTTTGGCTCAGTGGTAGAGCGTCGGTCTGTGGACTGAAAGGTCCCAGGTTCGATTCCGGTCAAGGGCATGTACATTGGTTGCGGGCACATCCCCGGTAGGGGGTGTGCAAGAGGCAGCTGGTTGATATTTCTCTCATCATCGTTTCTAGCTCTCTCTCTCCCTTCCTCTCTGTAAAAAATCAATAAAATATATTTTAAAAAAATAAAAATAAAAAAGTAGAATGTTAATAAAATGTTCATCTAATAGCAATTGTCATGTGCTTTTTCCCAACATCACATCTATAATGCAAATATATGAAGATAAAACACAATCACCCAAATATACTATTTTATGATAAATTAATATATCGTTATCATAGATGTTGGTGTGCTTTTAAATTATAAATGTTATGTTATTCATATAATGAGAATTTTAAAGAACAATTAAGTCCTTTTGCTTAAAAACTGACGTTTTTCTTAGAACCTGAAAATATAAACCAGAAGAAAAAAAAATATCAGGCCAAGGTATCCCAGCCTTCCCTTTATTCAAGGCTTCTGAGGCGGTAAGTTGGCTCAAATCTGAGACTTTATTAAGGGGCTGTGACTCTGCTTTTATTATTTGAGTCATTTGATCTAGAACCTTTATGTTTACACAGATCACAAAAGAATTTAGTAGATTTTCTATTTCATTTCTGGCAAAACCATGAGTATCAAATGAATGCCATAGACCTGTGTGTGTTTGACTATCCTGATTGCTGCTTTGACTCTGCTGCCCATTGTGGTAAATTTTGGCCACTGAGTGTCACTACTCGGCCCCTGCCACCCAGGATCCAAATGCTGCCAGTGCATTCAGGTTTTCCAGTTGGGTCACTGTAGTTCCCACGATAGCGTGTGGCCTACAGAGAAGAGCAACTACAGAGCTCTTCAAGGGGCTCCCTTCGCAAATGTACTGCTCCAAATATTGGACCTTCCACTATGGGAGAGGAGGTTTCACATGGCAAACCCACTCTGTGGTACTTTGCTGTCGTAGCTCCTGCAGACTAGTTCAGCATCTTATATGCTGGTTCAAATGGACTTTCCCAAACGAGGCAGATGGATGCTCAGACAATGTACCCTGGGAACCTGCTGGAATCTAGGAGCTAGGTGACTTCAGGTGGCCTTGGTCGTAAGGAAAAAGCCCTTGGCAAAGATGCCTGTGAAGAGTTTGATTGAAATTGTTTCATAAAATAAGCATAAAAAGTAATGTTTTAAAAATAAAATTTAATATTATAGTTAACAATGAACTATTTTTTATATTGCTTTAAGTTTATTTACCTGAGTGTCAAAAAACTTTTTTTGATGAGCTTTTATTAGGGAAAATGGGAAATTGCCTTAGTATTTGTGCAAATATGTTTTGTGTGTGTATGGTTTTTGTTAATCCTTACCTAAGGCTGTTCTTCCCATTTATATTTAGAGAGTGAAAGGAGGGGAGAGAAATATTGATATGAGAGAGACACATCAATTGGTTGCCTCCCACATACGCCTCTACTGAGACAAGGATCCCCGGGGATTGAATCTGCAACCCAGGTACCTGCCCTTGACCAGGAATCCAATCCAAGGCCCTTTGATGCATGGGCCGATGCTCTAACCACTGAACAACATAGGCTAGGGCTGTTGTTTTTTCCCTCCCAGATGGTAATAAAGTATTTAGCCCTTTCTGTGTATGAAAAATACCACAATATTATTTAGTATAAATGATTAGTCAAATTAACTTGGAATGAAAAGTACATTATTATATATAGCATTCACTTTATTAAAGTGAGTTTCAAACAAATGCTGTTTGGATAAGTTTGATGGGGGTTGATCCTATATATATATATATATATATATATATATATATATATATATATATAAAAAGTAGTAACTATTTGTTTAAAATGATACATCAAATAAGAACCCTCTCCTTTGCCCCATGCCCTGACGTTAGTGGCCATTGTTTTCTGGTTCAGAGGAAATGCTGGTATTCATTGAGTCTGAATGCAGATATCCAGTGATGTCTTCCCATTTCTTTTGCTCTTTGGTGTTCTTTTTCTTTTCAGAAACCATTTGAGTCTTTCTCATCCTAATAAGTTACAGGCAGTCCCAAACAATGCTTTTTCTTAAAGTGTTTATATGGGGGGGAAAAATCAGTCTATTCCCAAGTTCCTCAGTAAAGACATTTCCGAGGAAGGACTTTGAACTAGGACATGCTCCACGGTGGAGATACATGAAGCGGTAATTATAAGGTGGGGAACACTTAAACACAAGTTTGAGGGGCTAGTTATCGCTACCACAAAACTGACAAAATGCCATGCGGGCCCCTTGTCCTCCAAGTACCCCGACCAGGGAAATTCCTACCCAAATCAAAGCAATCACACCATCTAAAGAGCTTTTCTCATGAAGAGGTGGAAAAACTTCATGATCCACGAAGATGTAAAGGCAAATAGGAATTTCATTATTGCCTTGTAGTAAAATAAACACGAGACAATACACTAAAAATAGGTAAACAGGCTATAAGCTGAAGCATGAATTTTGGTCAGTGTGGGGACTTTTAGGTGCATATATGTTTTTTTAAAATTTATTTTATTGATTTTTTTATAGAGAAGAAGAGAGAGGGATAGAGAGCTAGAAACATCGATGAGAGAGAAACATTGATCCTGCACACTCCCTGCTGGGGATGTGTCCGCAACCAAGGTACATGCTTTTGTCTGGAATCGAACCCGGGACCCTTCAGTCCACAGGCCGACGCTCTATCCACTGAGCCAAACCGGTTAGGGTGTGTGTATGTTCATACAAATGAACTTTTGGTGTAGTCCAAGTGCACCTCATCCAGAGAATGTAGCACGAAGGAAATCATTCCTGCAAATAAGCGTTTAGGGTCTAAAAGAGGTTGAACTACAGTGTGCCCACAAGCCTGTCTGTATTTCCAGGAGGTTTCAGTAACAACTCTCTTCAGTTGCTATGGGTATTGTATTTATGCAGCACCTAGCATCCTTCTGTGTGTTCATAAGTGCAAACTAAAGCAGGAAGTGCAAATTAAAGCAGGAAGTCTCTTGTCAAGATAGTTTTGGACAAGGGTAGATACCGGGAACTTTTTTTTCCCCATAACCTTACTTTTTTATACAGATACTTCCGTAGTACACACAAAAGAACGTGAAATTTTCAGAAATACAGCTATCTATGAGAAAATTGACCAATATATTAAATTGAATAAAATGTACGCTGCCGGAAAAAAGATCCTGGAGTATTTATCAATGGCGTGGGTGTCGATCCTCATGCTCACGTAGCTGTTCCTCCGACTCTTCCTCTGCGGGGAGCTCCTCTCGGTGGCCAGGGTGAGCTGCACCATCATCCTGTCTGGCTTCTCGCCATTCTCCGGCGTGTAGTTGCCCAGGTCATTCACCTCCACGTCTCTATAGCTGCCATCCAGCATGACGGCGCGTGGCTGAGGTAGTGCACAGGTGCAGGGAAACTGCGGACACAGCAAACACACGTTGGGATGTGAGCTCGGCTTCCTCTCTCAGAAGCCCTTCTTAGGAGAAACGGCATGGTGGAGGGGGTGGCCCCATTCTAGTTTCTTTTATTCCCAGCTGGGGTGGGAGTTGGGAAAGTAATGGTGGTGGCACAGGAAACATTCCAAAGTAGCAGGTTATTTGTTTAACTAAAGTCTACAAATCAGCTCTTAGGAAACCATGTCATACCAGAGACCAAGATGAATGTTCATAGCCAGAGAACCACCCTATTCTCCTCCAGACCATTAGCTGCTACCCTGTTTCCCCGAAAATAAAATAAGACAGTGTCTTATATTAATTTTTGCTCCCAAAGATGCACTAGGTCTTATTTTCAGAGGATGTCTTATTTTTCCATAAAAAAGAATATGGTACACATTTATTGTTAAATGAAAATAAAGGAAATTTATTACCTGTATACGGTACAGTAGTGCGGTAGA